TGCATAAATAATAATAATTATACTAAAAACCCGTGCGTGCACGATTTTGAATTTGTGTTAATCTTAGGGTTTTGAAATATCAGTCATTTCCCGGACGGCGATTTACACTAATTATAAAAATATAACATTATATACCTAACGTATAGTAAAAACTGAATACCTAAACTTTTTCTTTAACTTCTTATTAAGCATTGTTTTCCAAAATWTGAATTGTTATTGTTTATCATAGATAGGATAGGTTATTACTTGATTTTATATTATGCTCTATGGAGTCCGACTGTGGAAAAGTTAAGMGTTCCAATCATATGGTTTTATCGAAAAAACTTTTTTCTCGTGCACTAAAGAAGTAAAATTATTTTATCTTGAAGTTTTTTCATGCTATTTTACCTATGCCAATACAGTATCTGTATATGTGTTCTTTCTGAGTCAACGATCAATACTGTTCACCTACATAATGTTGACATATCGTCTAGACGAGGGGGTATTTTCTACGTTATTAATGTGGTCCAGTAATTTCCGTGTCGTAACTGTTTGAGGATACAATAGCAAGTTGTTGACGCGCTTTCATTGCCTCTAAGATATTACTTTTTTWAAATACGAAAAGAATATTATATCCTAAACGCATTACGTCCGGGATATTAATAACGTTATTGTTTTTGGAAATGTATGATAAGAATAAGTCTTATTACAACGAAGTTTTGTGGTTTTCGCGAGCCTTGGGTGTGCGGAGTCAGATTTAGAATAATTAATATTGCTTTCTTGAAATATGATGAAAAAATTAGTTATTATCAAACTAACGTCAGAACTTGAAAATTACGAGGAACTGTTGTTATGAAAATCGTGCACCACCTAAATTATTAGATAAGGCTTACCTAAACTGGTGATATTTGTGGTATAGGTACAGAAATGAAAGTTCGAAAAACCTATAACTAACATGATGAAAACGTTTTGTTATAGGTATCTATCAAAAATTCTGTATAAATAAAAATCGAATAATCGGTAGGTAATCAAAAGTTAAATAAACACTTGTTTTGTACCAGGAATTTGAAATGAGAACTATTTTCTGCCATTTTTGATTCAAAAGCACGGAATTTGTGACGCAAGTTACGTTGTATAATTTGTATTAAGAGGACACCACATCACTCGCATGTRCTATGTCCATCTTACAAACGTAAAACATATTAAAACTGTTTTGCGCGTGACAAATTATCCCCCTCAGTATTTGTAACGGAATTATCAGAATTCTACAACGCTTCGATAAGAACATTACCTGTGTCGTTGCGTCGTTATATTTTTGATAATATAAATATAATTAAAGTTATCAGCTTGAAAAAAATTAATTTTAATTTTTTCATTTAATTATTAAAAATAATTGGTTTGGGCCATCAAAAAATAACAGCGCTACGACACAAATAAAGTTCTTAGCTATGTGTTGTGGAATTATGATAATTCTAYTATGAATACTCAGGGAGAAAAGTACCCRTGAATGTACAGTTTTTGGTATGTTCTACGTTTGTAAGACGGAGACAACGCATGTGAGTGTGGCATTCTCTTAAAACAAATACTAAAACTACTAAAAAATCAAAAACATCTAAAAAAGATTAAAATACTAATACGACAGCCTAATTATCAATAGATACATTAATACCAGTATAAATATTACCAGTCTAATAAATTCGAATTATTCACAACGTAACTCCTTATGTAAGCGACTCAAACTCACAAATTGCGTAATATAATACCCTTTTTTTCCGTTCAAAAAACCAGGAACGGGTGGGAAATGTTTAGCACAATACTGCCACCCGGTCCCGTATCGTTTATTCGCCGTCAATTATCGTAGTTATTTTACATACGCGGGGGCCTTGCGTAATATAATATCTAAATATCTAATTGATTCACAATTCAATTAAGGCATTCGAGTGATTTCAAAATCATATTTTAAATAAACTATWCAGTTAAAAAGTCTTATAATATCTTAAAAATGTTATAATATAAATATTTTATGTAAGGTAAGCTACTGATTTTACATAATATTTTTCCGAAGGCTAAAAATTATCATTAATAAAAAAWTTTATTTTTATTTTTAATTGTTGGTATAGGTTCGAAGCGTAGTTACTGTATCAAGAAAGATATGATATTAGTATGTATTATTGATTAAAACTTTGTACCTATTAGGTTCATATTATGCAACGAAATAATAAATTATAATTGAAAAGAATTATTTTTATGTTTGAAACTAATTGAGCTTAGATCAGAATTAAATTTTAGAGGTCGCTTAGTGCCATATTATATATTAAACCACATGGACTGAACTCGTGATAAAAAAAAATGGAGTACATATTGTTTAAGTTCTAGTGAAAAGGAGGACATAATAATATATAGATGGGATGGGTATCGAGCGGTTARTTCTATTGTTTCCAGTCAGTTGTTTATTTTCACAAAAAAACATTTTGAAATAAAATATCACACTAAAAAAATGATTCCGAACATGGAATCACTCTAAATATAGCCAAGTGTGCATCGATTGTGGTGTAGGTATATCAATTGGTAARTTTATTCAACTTCATTTGTTGCAATTTTTTACAGTTTAAAATAGTGCAACAATTCAATTTCTCTGCTCAAAATTAAAAATTAAAAACATTCCCGAGTCATAATCTAAACTCTAAATCATATTGAGAATGTATCAACTATCAATATTGACATTGATAAAAATACTAGGTATTCATAAACAAAAAAAAATATACAATTGTTTGTATRAACAAATGCATTTATTTTTAGTGTATGTAAAATATAAAATATAGTCAGTATTTAAGAATATAAATTACGAGGTTCAAACGAATTTTTTTAATAACATTTATTTTGCTCATTAATCATGATTAAAAAAATAAAATATTATGTGGACATTAGGTAAAAAAATGAATATATAATTTAAGAAGACATCCGTTAATGGCATTCAAAAATAAAACAAAAATTTTTGCCCTACAGTTTCAATTTTAATAAACTACAAATGAAGGGTTTACATCAGTCGATATCGGATATGTATAAACACGTTCTTGAAATATCAAAGATTTGAATGTTCACTTTTCAAATCGAATCAAAATTAAATTGATTAGATTTGAACGTCTTAAATTAATTTCTAAAATAAAAAGTGAAATAAAATGTATATTTATTGCCTCTATTGTAGAACTGTCGGAACGAATGACTTGTAAATATTTTACAAGTATCGTTCATCACTTCATGATATATAAGAAAGCATCATAATTTATTCAATATACCAACGCACTCGAAATAATAATAGTAAAAGAAACATGAGGGTGGTTTGTGTAATCTAATAAACAATATTGTTTTCTTGATTCATTCTCATTTCTATATACATATGTGTTTTATATTATTTTCCTTTTTAAATGAGAAGCGAAATGTTTTTTTTTTCATTTTATCTTGTTTATCTCCGTTTGCTGAAAGTGTAAATATAAAACGTCTTAATCCAATCAATTTGTACTACTGATGTTGTATGTGTTTAACCGTAAAGTGCATTTTGTTTTTTAGATCCATGCCGTGGGTAGTTATTGGATTGGTCATACAAGGAGTCGCATTGGGCATGATCTGCGTACCCACGTTTGTAGATTCTATGACCGCTGCCTTGTAAGTTATGACGCACGCATATTATATAATTTAATAAAATGATGAAAAAAAAAACGCGAATAAAAAATATTACCTAGGTGAATAACGTTTATTTCTTCTGCAGTGATAGCGGTTTTCCAAATGACATACACACTTACGGACTGTTGTCAGGCATATGGTCATCGTCGTTCGCCCTAGGAGCGTTTTTGGGCCCATCAATAGCTGGCGTTTTGTATGACTTGGTTGGGTTTGAAAACGGCACGTATTTTGAGATTTCATTGCACATCGCATTGGTGAGTAAAGTTTTGTGTTATATTTAAGATGGTAAGGAGGGAATGTGTTTTCGTACTCGTAGGTTTTCTTCCCGCAACTCTTTTTCTTACCATAAAATCCTTTCTCTTAAACAGATCATTCCAAGTTCGCTGCGAAGACGAACTTTCGTCAACTCACCMTATAAATGCTGGGGTTTCCYAAAGGCAGCATTCTCGCTCCTACTCTATATAATCTTTTTACCTCCGACATACCACTATCAAATAATTATACTCTAGCTACCTTTGCYAACGATACCGCTATTCTGCCTTCCAAAAAATGTCTAAAAGCTGCCACAAATCATCTCCAAGAAAATCTAGTAATTCTACAACACTGGTTCCACAAATGGAGAATAAAAATAAATGAAAATAAATCAATGTTCATTACAATTTACATTTACCCTTGGTCTTAAAAACAGTCAACTAATAATATTAAATAACAAAATAATTCAAACACAAAACTCCGTAAAATACCTTGGAATTCACCTAGACAAAAGACTAACTTAGGCAACCCATAAAAAAAMAAAAGATCTTCYCTTAGTCTTAAATTCCATAAATTCAGACAGCTCCTGCGATCTAACCTCTTTCTTAATAATAATAATTAACTTCTTATATATAAACAAATCATTCGACCTGCAATAACCTTTGGCATACAAATTTAGGGACCCTCTAAAAACTMTAACATCATTAAATTCCAAACTTTACAATCCATCAATCTCCGACTCTTTACCAATTCTCCCTGATATGTCAGCAATCGCACTCTTCATAAGGACCTAAAAATTCCAACTATCTCCGAAATAGCGTCAAACCACTATAAGAAATTTCATACAAATACTATTAATCATCCTAACCCTCTAATCTCTAACCTCTCCTCTCTCACACTCCCAGATAACCCAATCCGCCGCCTCAAATAAAAATGGCCACGTGACCTACTTAATAGTTAAGACAATTAACATTAGTGAGTCAAAAAAAAAAAAAATCATCATTAAACTAAATATTCATCAGTCATATCAAGTTTGAAGTAGTGTCACTGGGCACCCTCCCCCTCTTCTATCACGACATCAAGCCTTGTACAAATCTAAAACCATCAAAATTACCTATTGTATATATTAATTACAGATTGTATATTTTATCTTTTCTAAAATAATAATAAAAAAAAAATGTCTATATAGGTCGCGAACTCTGCACTTATATAAGTGAAATTCCTATTAGGGTGACTCGAGAATAAATAAATCAAAAATTCAACTGTCTATTGAAAAAAAAAAGACTGAAGAAATAATAATATTGAATAGTTTTTCTCCATGTTCTATATTTTGCCATCTCACAATATTTGAATGTAGCCCTCACTATTTATGCGTACGTATTATATATTGATGTATATTATTTATGACATTTTGTCGAAAACTCCGAACATTTGGCCTTTGAGGATAAGAAATTCATGTATTCAACGATTATATTTATATATACGGTTTCACGCACGTCATCGTTCCCAAACCAATATATTTATACAGTATCCAATATTTTTGAATTTTTTTTTATTTTAATTCTGACATTGGTCTCGATTACAGCCCGTTTTGTACCTTCTCTAACTGCGGGGGTCCGCATGGGACTTTCGTAATTTGTTAATCAATTGCCCTGCTCCCTTTCATTAAACTAAATTTAAAATACCTTTATTTTATGTCTCAGTTTCGATTTTTATACATTATAATGCTCACTCTTTCAATTATGTAATCATAATAAAAACAGTTTTCCATTTCATTCTTCATATTGAATTTCAACTTTAAAATTATATGAGATTTACGTTTCTTCTAGGCTTTTAAATACCAATCTTATTTAAATGGTCGAAATACAATAACTTAGGTTAACATTTCATTAAAAAAAATTATGTTATCATTGTATTTTTAGAACATTAGTTGTATTAATAAAAAAATGATTATCAACGTCAAAAAATATTCGAATGCGTATAAGTAAATATTTTATTACAATGTTACGTCTATTTATAATATAAATTTATAGAAGAAATAATAACTAMACACGATTTTCATTTACTTAACAATTTTTGTTTATAAATATAAATTACGATAACGCGTGCTGCTGCTGCTGCGTCCTAATAATAATTTTTTTTATTTGATTGTTTGGATTACAAGTCCTTGACCTTTTGTTATACCTTCTGATTTTCATAATCACCAATATAATCCGATTTATTATGTGATAGGACTGATAGGTGTGTTTTATTGTAGTTTTTAATGTTTTTTGTTAAMTGCAATAATAAATTTTCTACTAATATAAAATAACTATTAGGTAAATATTYACTTAAAACAAACTAAAAGTTAAGATTTATCGTAGATTTGAGTAATTGCAGGGATATTTCATAGTAATAAAAATAATCTTGTCTATAATTTAGACACTCCGTGTAAATGAAAACAAAATTTTAACAGTGAGCAAGTTAATTTTTAAACTATTGCACAAATAACATGTAGATATGAATATAATTTTCTCAAGTATATAACATAGTATGAGTAATTTTTCGGTCGACGAGTCTGAAAGTATTTGCAGTTTTCCACCTTTTGCAAAACAACAGTTGCTTAATTCATCCCATGCTGCCGTGTCAGCCTGTTCTCACGTAGGTATAACAAATACAATTCGTAATATCATAATAAGGTAAAACCTCAAAGTCATAAGATTTTAGTATACACTTAAACACCACTCTTATGAATTTAAAGACCCATAATCTTTTGAAGTTCTTTACATGGCTCTATTTTCAAACACGATTTTATTATTTGAAACTTGATTCTGAATGCAAGTGAATGCGCGAGTTCAAAAATACTTCCTAAAATAGCTTTTAAACTAAATCTCCATTGGAACTCTATGACTACAGTCCAATTCGTACCAAACTTGAATTCCTTATTGGATATAACGTACAATGTACGTAAGACGTCGGATATATCATTTCCATCACAGAATATTATCAATTATTTACCATCAATTACTTAATCATTAGTCTCCGTGTTAATAAGATCATATCCTGTTTAAATTCTTTATTGATCGTCACAGATCTCTTTCGCTTTTCTACGTCCCATCTCACAATACTAATTTGACAAAAAAATCGGCCTAATCGAGAGCTATTTCCTCACACCATAATTATTCTGACTTTGATTTCTACTTAGACAGATTAAATTTGAAAAGTAAACGTCTTTTAAATGTCTAAATAAGTGAATGAATCACTTTTTATTGTATATTATTATATTATGCACTATTAAAAATTAGGTACCTACTGGTTACGTACTTAAATTTTTTTTTTCACATAGATAATATATGCGCATATTTTTCTTTCAAAACTATTTTCTTTTTTTTTATTAACATGCTATAGAACAAATTTAAGTTTATTAGGTATCTGCGAATTGATACTCTTGTTAAAATTAATGAATTATTATCATTATGAACGTGATGTGTAATAATGTATATGCTATGGTGTTGCAGGGTATCGCGCTTATGTTGTTCGTGTGCTTGGAACGGCGGCCATCCGAAAAGTTTGTGGTGAACGGTATGAGCGACTCGACCGTTGGATTCGCCGGCCGCACGGACGCGATTGACCCGACCAGCGCGGCGCCAGTGCCGGGTGCCAAGTCTCCCATCTACACCATCAACGGGCACCACTCGTTCCGATCCAGCCACCGATTCGGTTCGACTTACGGCAGCTTTAGTAACTCTTGCTTGGGAACGTCCTTGTCGTCGATGCGCATCCACAGTGAGGCCAAGACMGAGGCCCGAGGCAGCCCGCTGGCCGTTGAGTCCCGGATATAGAACACTCTCCCTCCCCCCCACCCAAAAAAAACAACAACACTGTATCATTATGATGGCGGTGATGATAATGATAATAATTATAATACAACGATAACGATGCAAACCATATCATCCCCCATGCACTCTCTACGCATTATGATAACAGCGTTATTATTAGACAAGACTTACCCTTGCGCGTGTACGTATATTATCATCATAGTCCTCACTACTCCCATCATCGACAACACACGTTAATGGTCTAAACAAACATTCGACATTCAAGCACAGTGCACAATACTTTGTTACATTTTACCCTGCGTATTTGCCTAGTTAGTCAATAATAGTGTTAATATTATAATGATGTCGTACGAGTTTTAATATTATCCCTTMGCATCTATTGACAGAGAAATCGTATCTCGCATCAACGGGTGTATAATAATATAACATTGTAATCGCTGTACAAGTATATAATCATATCACATGTTTTTTTTTAAGTTTTTTTATATAGATTTTATAATCGTGTACGTATGGATGTGTGTGTGTGTGTGTATGTGTGAATGTTTTTTATTGATTTTAATTCGCATCTTATACGCAATGTACAGAAGATTTTTATTTTTACTTCTCTTTGTCCCACTCTCTATTTTCCTAACTGTTAACTAACCGCTGTAATGATATTCATACTGCAGATATTAATAATTATACACCTATATACTTATTATTATTACAGATGTCGTTTTATTTATATAATATGTTTCAAAGAAATTAGATCGGCTTCTTATATTACTTTACATAATAAATTATAGTATTTTTCCTTCAAGTATAGGTGATATATTTTTATTGTGCGCAATCGCCCAGTCATGTTTGCACCATCAATAAGTATACGATGTTTAATGTTGATAATTATTGATATAAGCAATGTTTCTTACATACAAAATGATAAACACATCGATTTCCTATAAAGTTTAAATTAGTTTTTTTTTTTTTTTAATGAAGTGCTTAATTGTAAAATATTATTATTATACCGATAAACGTTTGTTAGGTTATTGCGATCACAGTCGACGACAAGTAATGCGTTTTATTATTTTGTTTTTACCTCACAGAAATATTAGATTCCGTAGTAATGCATTACCACAGACAAGGAACTTTTTTGTGGGCATACAATAACACTGATATAGTAATGATATATTTATACAATTAACAAAATGATTTTATTTATATTAGATATTATATTATTGTGGTATAATATTACCGTAATATTATTATTATTTGTAATATGCGTATAATGTAATCGTAATATGTACCTAGTACCATTGTGACCAGTTTTCAGTGTATGTAAATAATATTATATTATAGATACATATTATTGTGTTACTGACTTTAGATGTTATTCATTGAATTATTGTTTAAGTAGCATTGTATACTAGCAGTTAAAAAATTTACAATTACATTGTACAAATCAAAACCCATTTGTTTTATTGTTGTTGCATTCATACCTAATCTGCCCAATTTTATTTCAGTCGAATAGACGCTAATCGTGGTATTTTCTTTGGGTTTTATAGAGTTACTGATTAATTTTCGTATTGAGATCATTACATTTTAGAAATGCATATCAATAAAATCCTAGGACATGTATAAGTAAAACTTTCAGTGAAATTCAAATATAATATACCATATCAATCGCGGTGGAAGCTGGAAGGAGGAGGACACGATGAGAAATATACAATAATCACGTCACTCTTCATTAATATACGTTTTGTACTCTCTTACTAAAATCAAATTTTCAGAATCTGCGTGTCAGTTTCACCGACTATCACGCTTTAGACACTTTACATGTCTTATATTTTTWAATTATTTCTGATCGATATCAGGATAATATAGGTAATGCAAATTGTGAGTCGGGTAAATCTTTTGTTTCTTCAACGATTTTAATAAGTCTTTTTAGAAGCATTTTTTCAAAAACTTTTGATAGTATTGGTAGCAAACTTATTGGTCTGTAGGATGATGGACAGTCTGGAGGTTTTTTTGGTTTCAGGATAAGTATAACAGAGGAATACTTCCATAGTAATGGGAAGTAGGATAGTCTGAGCATCGAATTATATATGTAGGTCAAAAGTATGATAACTTTTTTGGGGAGCTGGTTAAGTACTTCTGCTGTTATTAGGTCGTATCCGGGAGACTTTTTTCAGGGAAATTTCGAAATTGTATATTTTACCTCAGCTGGAGAGAATTGTTTAGGAGGAAGGGACATTTGTAACGGTATGTCAAGAAATCGCTCAACTTCATTGATTTTTTCCTGTAGAAGGATGGTATTGTGTGGTTGGAATGTATCAACGAGGTGGTTTGCGAATATATTAGCTTTGTCCATGTCAGAGTGTACCCAATTGCCACTGGCGTCGCGTAGRATAGCTAGAAGGTTATGCACGCGAAGAAGTTGTTTCGTTACCTTCCAGAGAGAACCATCTTTTGTCGTAAGTGATTTTAAGTGTTTAGTGTAAGATTCATTTCGATAATTTGCTAGGATGCGTTTGAGATTTTGCGCGAGTGCATTATAGTGGCATTTATCAGCCGGGTATTTAGTTCTTTGCCATAAACAGCGAGCGCGACGTTTTTGTACTATAAGGGTTCGTATGTATAAAGGAAGAATTGCGGTGGATGTGTGGTTTCGATGGTAGAGCTGATTCCCATGCTGAGGTTTGTATATTGGATGTTAAGAGATTCACCGCGCCATCAATGTCAGCTGTGGTTTTCAGCCGGACTTTTAGACTAGTTTTTTGTAGGATTGATTTTTGAACATTTTCCCAGTTGATTTGAGAATGTAACGGTGGTGCATTGTATTGGTTGGGAAAAGGCTGGCAGTCTATTGTGAGTAGAATGAGGGAATGATCTGGGCATGGAGCGTGGAGATTTATAATCGAGCAGTGGAGCGTGCTAGGGATTTTTGTTATGAATATATCTAAAACATCCGGTCTCTTTCTAGGAGACTTTGGCCAATAGGTGGGGGGTTGGGAGGTGAGATGACTCGTAGGGTATTGTGAGTGATACTTTGTAAGAGTGAGTTTCCTCTCGGATTTGTGGTGYGGCATCCCCATTGAATATGTTTGGCATTTATATCGCCACCAACTATGAAGTTATGACCAAGTGTATGAAAATAAAGATCGAATTGATTTGAATGTATGGCGTGTTTGGGAGAACAGTATATAGATGCTATTGAGATGGGAATACTATTAATTGATATGGATACCGCGCAAGACTGGACGTAGTCTGTTTGAAAATTCACTGATTCAGATCAGTGCCACATGCTTTAGACGTCCAGTTGTTTCCCATTGGCAAATCAATATGGCTGTGAAATCTGCCTTAAGGCTCAACTAAATACATTTGCCAAAAGATTTTGATCAGATTTTCTCAATTCCTATTTATGGTAACTACGTAAAAAATTAGTAAGTAGTAACAACTAAGTAAGTATAATATATTGAATGTAGGTTATAATACTTATAATACTTAGCATATACGTACCTATAATATAAACAKTTAAATGTGTACAGATCAAAAGCATAAACATAATTTTCATATAATTAAAGTTGGGAAAGTTAATGAAAATAATGAAACTAAGCTAATTAAATTAAGTCTGTGTTGAGAATGTTAAACTACAAGTTAATATTTAACAAATATTATATTTCACTGTATAAGTTTAAAACTAATCGAAAGGTTAACTTAAGCTAGTTGAAAAAAGTCTATTTATCAATTTTTAATCATCACTAAGGTATAACACATACATATTATAGTATCCTATATTATTCGTTCATATTAAACAAGTAGCTGTAATGGCTTAGTGACAAAAAATTACACTATTACTTATAAGTTTTAATTAATTGACTACTTACTTTACTCGTTTGAAATTCGATTCTTGTGTTTCAAAATTTAAAATACTCAGAAAAATATTTTAATTTGAAATCTAAAATATAAGATTAAAAAATATATGTAGTCATCTAAAACAAAATTACAATGATAAATTAAGTAAAATATATAAATGTAAGCATAGTAATAATGATATTTATTTTATTACATTATATAATTTGTAATGAATTCAAATAATATAAAAAATGTTTGATAAAMACGGCGTTCTGAATAGGCATTTCATGTACATCACGGTCGTGAGTATATTTTATTCAGTATCTTATAATAAATAAATAATTTATAAAATCACTGTATCAATTATCAAATTTAGCATAACTAATTACTCAGAAAACCATTTTTTTTTTATTCTGGGATCTATTGAAGATATACTGTAATAATTAAATTAGAATTTATCTATAGAAAAAGTGTAATTCAAAGGAGTGGATTWTAATAATCTAAAGATCTAAGCCCTCCTCCAATTCACATATTATGTTGGACGTTAACCCTGCTTTACCACTTGGCTGAACATTTCTCTACACTTCTTCAGTACGTCTCTGATACTCTGTAACTTTTTCTCGTAACAAAAACAAACAAAATTCCGTAGTTTCAAATCCTTAATCTGATTTTGTCTTCTTTGTTTAGCATTTTTAAAAATGATTATAATATTACACTAAAAGGTAAAAAATATTTTTGATAGCATAATTTATAAGATTTCATATGTCATAATTGTGATTAGGTATGTACCACTATATTTTTTTTCTTACGTAGTAGTAACCTTCATCAAAATATTCTATTAGWGGACATGTAAAAACGTCTCCGAACCAAAAATCTTTTATATTGAACAACAATCGTCATGAAAGACGAATTCAAAAATATTTTTCCGGGGATTTGAAGATTTTTCATATCATAATTTTATTTTAGTTTTCATGCATTGTACATGTTAGGTTTTAAAAACATTTTTAGATTAATTTTATGTTATGGCCCATCTAATGTTTTATCTAATAGTAAAATAAATTACTTTTATAATTTATATGATAATCGACTGACTTTCTAAGAATCGTTATTGGTGTGTTTAATTTAACACATCAATTACAGTAACCTATTTAATGACAAGTTCCACTTTGCTCCTATTATRCAGCAGAACGATCACCTAATCTTCCGCTTTTTTGTTGATTTTATAAAAATAAAATCTGCCTTTTTTTTATTTGATAATGCATAAAAGACTACTCTATCTAATTTGTATTTCACAATGGTTTAATATTATAGATTAATTATATATTGGATTAGAATAATTTACCAATATTTGAATGTTACAGTGTGTCATTTAGGTAAACATATTTATAAATAATTAATAAAATCACACATTCTTAATTCATCAACAATTTTTAAGGATTCACGTGAACTTTCGGAGTATTGATTAAAATTCGAACAAGAAAGCATATTGCCTTAAGTCTTGGCCCTATTGGCAATAATAATGGGACCGGTGTCTTATAGTATTGCATATATTGATATACAAAATCTGAAGGTTCGATGAAATTCGCATTTTTTTCTCACGTAACAGTGTAATTTKATATACACAAAAGATATAATCGATGGAATTCATAATCAACTATAATGTAGTAATAGTTTGTTTTATTGATAGCCCTTCGATACTAAGGCAATGCTATATGGAATAATACCAACAATAATATTATATTATTATTTATTATTAATAAGTATAATAATTAATAATACAATTTTCAAGTTTGGAAATTAATCATTAATCGTTACTGGAT